TTTGCCTTAGTCAAATGCAGCTTCTTTTAAAGAAAGCACGTAGAAATAGTACAAATTGACACATGAGGGAAGTAAGGGTTTTGGAGAAAATACATTGTGTTTTTGTTCCAAAAATTCTCATGTAAACTATATAGTAAAATCTGATGTATTCATGCTCCTTTGCAGACTATAGCTTTAACCCTGAGGATAATACATGTGAAAATCTAGGATCAGTTGTAAAACTGGAAACATCCTCCCCAGAAGAGCTGGACCTCAGTAACAATGACCGGCAGGATTCAGGAGTGGAGTTGCTGGAATGAAGAGTTCACACTTTGAACTAGAGGCACTCAGGTCAGCTTTCCCTAAATTCATTGCAAATGGTAAATTATTTTAATTTCTTTATCAACATTTATAGCAGAAAAAGATAACATTCTTGTCAGTTTAACAGTTTAGCACATTACTTAACACATTGTGAATTGCATGATTAAATTAAAAATAAATGCTATAAATTGAATCTTACACACAGCAAACACTTATACATAGAACACATATGCAACAATAATTGTTCTTATAAGAACATCTATGCAACAATTCTGTACTGCTGATATGGGATAATGAGTTTAATTTGTTCTCTGCACCTTCAAGCATAAACCTTAAGACTACCATGACATTTAACATTAGCTGCTGATGTGAACATTACAAATATCTTTATTTTTTCAACTGTGCTAATGTAATTGCATCCAGGCAACCTTTGCTTATAACTTCACCATTTTGTGAAACACAAATAGTTTCATTTTCTGTTATTCGTTATGCTCTTAGGGATGTTTTCTTGTCAATACCATCCTCAGCTTCCTCTTAAGCGTTATAAATGTTTTTGAACTGTCACATTCTGGAGGTGCTTTGGATATAAGTGCTTATCAGAAAGCAACTCAGATAAATTGAAAACATGTGGGTTTATTAACACAAAGAAAATATATTATGATGAAGCTGAGCTTGTGGCTAATAAGCAGATCATCGCATGGCATTCCATTCTATTTCCAATCACCCTTTGAAGCTACTGCAGTTGTACATCAGCCCCAAAGAATGAGAACTATTGGGCTACCAATCTAACCAGCCCATTTTTTTACTTGTGTTGCATATCTTCATTTGGAAGCACTTTAATTATACAAAGATACTCTGGCCACAGTAAAAAGACACCTGTATTTTCTCACTTGTTAGCTTCAACAAGCTATCACACACTTACAGTATTTAGAGCTTCTGCTCTGCTCAGCTCTGCAAAAACAGGATAACTGGATTTCAGCAGTTTTTCATAAATCATAATCAATCAATCATTCAATCAATCAGTCAAGCAGTCTACCATAATTTTGACTCAGTAACACATTGGGGGTGACCCTCATTTACATTGTAGCTGAGCAAGTTAAACAGGGACTGACAAGTAAAAATAAAGTTAAAATAAAATTTAGCAACTAAACCAAATGAAAATCATCAAGACAAAAATATAAATAAAATAAAAATAACAACTCAAATAAATAATAGGCATGAAATAGCAATAAAATATAAAATGACAAACAAATTAAATTACATAAAAGAACCAAATAAAATAAGCCATAAGAAACCTAAAAACACAGAAATAAAATTAGCTTCCTGTCGCATGACTAGAGAGGACTAATATTAGTGGGTCCTGTACAGGTTTCCAGTAATGAGTAATATATAGTCTCCAGTGATGAGTCTCAAATCTTCTAGCTCAGTGATAAACTGAATCTAGAGGTTTAAGGGTACTAGAAGATGTGTGTCTATAGATTATCTCACCATAGTCTAGGATGGATAATAAGGTTGTCTTTCAGACATTATCACTTTCATAAGTCTACACTGCTAATGTTTATAAATCTGCATTTTAATGATACAAAGAAATAAAGATTCAGAGCTACTACAACTCACTCACTCATCATCTAAGCCCCTTATCCTCTTGGTTTGCAGGGGGTGCTGAAGCCTATCACAATGCTCACTGGGCACAGGACACACGCTGGACAGGTTGTTAGTCAATCAGAGGGCAGACAAACAGACATTGCTACTATAACTAATTAGGCTAATTTATTGACTGTTTCCTTCTTAGGTCACTTCACTTCTTGTGGAGACGAGAATCAGGTACAAAACCTCCCTCAGCACCTTCAGACCTTCACACCTGCACGCCAGCGCAGGTCTTCACTTCTGGACTCTCATGTTCTTTCCTGAGATCTAATCATTCTCATAAGATAAGATCTTACGGTTTTAGTGTTCTGTAGCACCCCTGAGTGGTGGAACTCTGCACTGCAGTTTTACTGTTAACTCTTACAGTTTTAGTGTTTTTTAGAGCCCCTCAGTGGTGGAACTGTGCACTGCACAGTACTCTTCAGGTAAAACCTTGGGTAACAAGGTTACCTTGTTGCAAGTGCAATCCTGCACTTTTTTTTCCTTTGGATTTTTACCTAATTTTCCCCCAATTTAGTCGTTTCCATTTCCACCTGCTAGTTAGGACTCCCTCAATCACACGATACTACCAATGCTAGGAGGGTGAAGGCTAGCACAGCCTTCCTCTGAGAGCCACTGCATCTTTTTGAACTGCCACTCATGCAACGTCACTAGACAGCTGAACGCGCTCGCAGGAAAGCGGCAACCGCCAGATCTGTTATGTCAGCTAATAGACGCCTGCGCTGACTAGCATCGCGTTGAGTGATGGGGGAGAAGGAGGGGCCATCCAACCCACCCAGAGAGAGCGAGGCCAAATGTGTTCTCTCGGACTCTACGGATGGCTGTAGCATCACCAGGGATCGAGCTTGCGATCTCCTGATGGTACGGCCAACACTTAGACAGTTGTGCCACTCAGGAGCCACAAATCCTGCACTTTTTATGTTGCAGCTAATTCATTATTTAGAATGCACTTCACATTTGTTCTCAAGCTCTTAACCCTGTATTTATTTTCCTAGAACAAACCTGTTGTAGGGTCACTTATTTATTTTGCTCATGTGGGCACAGGCAATGCTAATCTTGGGTCATACATACGTAAGAAGTGTCCTGATCAATCGCAAGGCTGATGTGGGTTTTTCTGGCCACATGTCTTTAAGGCTTTGTTCACACAGGTAAAAGTGGCCCAAATCCCATCTTTTTCTTCATATGTGACACAGATGTGTGTCTGTGTGTCAGTGTGAGCAGCAAAAAAATGCACTGAATCTGACATTTCCGATTTGAGACGCTTTCATATGTGGTACCGAAATCCGATACACATCGGATATGCAGCAATGCAACTCAGTCTAAACGGCCAGATCGGAATTCATGCAGCTTTTATGTCAATCCAACTCAATATTCATTATAATCTCACACTGCTGAGACTCATAAACATCTGGGGTTATATTTCTGTACAAAAAATTAGAAGATTTATCCAAAATCCTCCATGTTCGAAGAGATTTTGAAAAAGATTGAATTTGAAAGAAATGGCTGAACATGGCCGTAGGAACAACAAGGCTGCACTGTCAAAGAATAGTTAAAAGTCTGAAAGCAAAGTTTAAAGAATCCGAGGACACGAACCAAAGAAGTGACCGCGTCCTTTTTACGGCTCGAACACATTCTGGGTGATGAGCCCAGCTCATAATATTATTATTATTATTATTATTGGTACAGTATGTCAGTGAGCTAAATAGTTTATGCTGTGCGATGATTTTATAATAAGTTCAACAGGCCTAATCACCGAATTTCAGTTTTTCGATATGTTAGCAGTTATTTGCGATGATTGCAGTTATTTAATCTGACTGTAATATTTTCCACACTCTACAATTATTACAAGATTATTCGTCAGGTAATTTTTTTTTTTTCCAGTACATCCATAATTCTCCAAAATAATCAGTGATCAACAAATGAGCTCTTATTTATTTACTGAAATGTTCTGTAAAGCCTGACCTCATGTAAAGGTTGTTTAAGCTGGTTTGAACTCTCTGCACTCACACTATTACTGTGTAAAACCAAATTTAAAGATGGTGTTCGCTGCTGTTCAGATGGTTAAGCATAAACGGAAGTAGCGTTCATGAGATTCTCTTAAAAGGACAAATGAATAAATAAAGTTTAGTGACAGCCAATCAGCCCATAATGTAAGAATGCTAATGGATATTTTTAATGTCTTTCAGACTCAGGATGGCTGATTACAAACTGTAACACTCACCAGCTTGATCATGAAATAATAAAGACGCCTTCAGATTCTGCTCTGTGTGTGAAGCGTTGGTCATGTGATTGAGAATGTTAAGTAGCGTAAATATTATCATGCTAAATGCTGATTCTGTAAGACAAGATCATCTCACACGTGTCCTCTGAGTTCCTATTCCAGTTCTGCATCAGTCATATTTTCATAAACTCATATACAGAAATGAAAACAGCTAAATTGATTTTTTTTTGCAAGCCCATTTCCACCCTTCTCATGTACAGTCATGCAAAATATCTTTATTTATAGAGCAGTTTTCATACCAGTGGCAACACAGTGTTTTACAGACAGTTGATAGTAGAAACTATGAGTATTAATTTAAAATCATATAAGACAATAACACATTAAATTAAGAAGATAAATACCAAAGAGACATAGAATTTGAACAGTGAATATAAATTAACACGTCCTCTACAGAGAACACACTTTTTCACATTTTAATGACAACTACTGTTTATTTGCTGAATTTATCACATTAGAAAAATGTGGCCCTTGCAAAATTTGAAATTTGAAAAAGTTGCGCACTAACATTAGCTAAGATGCCATATTTAAGGTTGGTCTTTGTAGAGGATGTTAACTTATGTGACGTCATTAAAACATTTTCATAAGACTGTAGTGTTTCCAACGCAGACTGTACTTACTCACCAAGCAAGATTGCCTCATTACCCACAACACCCTCCCCCCCCAACTGCGGGCGTCTCTGCACTAAATGTAGAGCTTCATCTCATATCACTGCTATCATAACTAACCCTTTCCTCTCTGAAGTGGCAGCGTTTTGGACTTTAATGTATGTCAGTAGGTTTTGATCTGACAGTGATGAGATGATCCTCACAAAGAAGAACAGAAATAAAATGATCATCACACTCAGACGTCTTTCTGAGAGCGTTGAGTGAAAAAGGAAGTGACTCTGAGCTGAAAGGGGAGGAGTGACGACAGAACACACAATGCAGATCACGTCTTCAGTGTCTTTGCTGACTTTCTCTCTGCTGAGATCAGAACAGTTCATAAGTGTAGGAGAGTCAGAGTGAGGAGCTTCTGGACCTTCTGGACCTTCAGGTATCCGCTGTGTTTGAAGAGTGATGCTGCCATGTTTTCCCAGAGCTCAGCAAATATTACAGCAGCACTGATCCTCATTTTACTGGCAGGTAAACTTTACATTTATTTACATTTCTGCTCTTAATGTGTTTGTGTTCCACAGCGTTGATCTACATCTGTGTCAGATTAACGTGGAGAGACTAAAAATCCTTCAACATATAACAGTTACAGTGTGTTTCAGAACATTTTAATACATTTGACACGATTCAGTCACAGGAAGTGGCTTTAGAACGAACAGCAGAGCTACAGTAACTACAGATTAATAACTGATACCATTTTTTAAATCTCTCGAAATTTACAAAATATTTAAAATATTACATTTAGAGCATTTAGCAGACACTCTTACCCAGAGTGACTTACAAAAGTGCCTTGTTGTCCAAATTTTGTTGTTGCTAGTTACAAGGTTAGGTTAGAGAGAAAGCCAGTCCTGAGCTCAGATACTGCTAGAAACAAAAGCCCATGTTGAGACCCAGAGAAAAGACCTGCAGAATTAAATAGCGCAGTACAATACATATTAATAAATAGTTAACTCGGTGCTCACATAAGTGCTGTATAAAGAGATGGTCTTCAGTCTGCATTTGAAGACCGTGAGAGACTCTTCTGTTTGGACAGCCAGTGGGAGTTCGTTCCACCACCTGGACTCCAGGACAGAGAAGAGTCTTGATGCTTGTCCTCCATGCGTCTTCAAGGATGGTGGGTCAAGCTGAGCTGTACTTGAAGCTCGAAGGGCTCGTGGTACAGTTCGAGTTTTGACCATTGCCATCAGGGAGGAGTTGGTCCGTTTTTGGCTTTGTAGGCAAGCATTAGGATTTTAAATCTGACGCAGCTACAGGAAGCCGGTGAAGGGAGCGCAGCAGTCGGGTGACGTGGCTGAACTTGGGGAGATTGAAGACGAGCCGAGCTGCTGCATTCTGGATGAGCTGCAGAGGTTGATGGCCGCATAAGAAGACCAGCCAAAAGTGAGTTGCAGTAGTCAAGCCTTGAGATGACAAGAGACTGAACGAGCACCTGGGTGGCCTCTCGAGTGAGGAAGGGTTAAATCCTCCAAATATTGTACAGGAGCCAGTAAGATTGTGTGGTTGATGGTGTCAAAAGCTGCGGAGAGACCAAGAGGAAGCAGAACAGATTACAGTTTGGCTGATTTTCCTTCCTGGAGCTTCTCAGTCACTGTTATAAAGGTCGTTTCCATTAAGTTCACCAGTTGGAAGCCAGACTGGTTGGGGCCAAACAAATGTATTTGGTTTCAATGTTTAGTGAAGTCCACATTAAAAAAAAACCAAAAAAAAAACCCAAAAAAAAACCAGTAATGAATCCTTAACTGTTGCTATGTTAACCCTTTGAAATAACCACAATCAGAGTACGACCATCAGAATGTGTGCTCATGGTCATTGCTAAATTAGGAGATTGATTACTAAGTTAGAAGAGCTTTCTTTATCCGTTGCTGAGAGAGTCCAATAGAGTCCAATATGGAACATAATTCCTTGGCACAACTGTCATTAGGATTGTCAATATGTATGTCAAAATCACCAGCAATATCAAAATGATCAAAATCTCTTGAAATAAAAGATAACCTAAAATTAGCATTGTACTCCAGAAGATAGTGGACAATTACTAGATATATTCTTGGGGCCCCTTTCAGAACCACACAAAGATACTCAAAGGATGTGATGTCACCCAATGATAATCTCTTACATTGGAAAGTCATCAAATAGAGCAGCTACACCTCCACCTTTCCTGACAGCATGTGAGACATTTACAAAGTTAAAGTTTGGTGGAGCCAACTCAATTAATACGGTTTCAGCACTACATTCATTCAACATGTTTCTGTTAAAAGCATTAAGCCCACGGGCTGTGATAAAATCATTAATCAAATAAGACTAGTTTGTGAGAGATCAAATATTGAGTAGAGCTAACATAATAACCTGTGCACTGTGTTTCAGAGACTCACATTTTACATACTGCAGATTGGATAAATTCACATTATCAGACATGAACTCCCTGTTCTTTTTGTTTCTGATATGTATTGGAATAGGAGAGATTTCTGGAATACAGTGTCCAGGCTTGTTTTGAAAACATGTACTGCTGACATCATCACTGTAGCAGCACGGATCTGAAAAATATCAGTTTGCTGGATTACTTGAAAATAGTTTGACCTCTTCCCTTTCAACGGAGGTGGAGGAGTGGAGCTCCTTTGATGATAAGGAAGAGAGCAAAGCTGCCTTTTCATTGGTTGGGGAGCTTGTCTCTTTCTTTGAGGTGGTACAGGTGCTCTGTGTAGTAATAATAGTTCATCACTTTGGCTGAACTTTCACTTTAAAGAACTCCTTGATTCTTGGTTGTGATGGGGGGTGGTGTGTGTTGTGAGGCAGTAGTTGAGAATGGAGCAGAAACTGAGCTAATTTTTTGCTGAACCTGGGGGGCGACAGAGAGAGAGAGCGACAGCTTCATCCCAGCTGAAACCACCATCTCCAGAATTGGACAAGGACAGAGGAATAGAGGGAGACATGGAAGAAAAGAAGAATAGAAGAACAGGTGGAGGAAATAAGAGGGATAGAGGGACAGATGGAAGAAAAAGAAAAATAAGTAATATAAGTTGTTTTCTGTGCTGTGTCAGTGAGAATTGACAAGTTGAACCAGTCTAGCTCAGTGCTTCTCTCTCTCTCTCTCTCTCTCTCTCTCTCTCTCTCTCTCTCTCTCTCTCTCTCTCTCTGTGGGTCAGGCTTTGTACAGATGTGATGTGGAGCAGCTGTTGTGGTTTTTTCTCTCCTTGTGCATTTCTTTCTTCCTCTTCCCTCATTAAAGGAGGAACTTCACTGCTCACTATTCTGTCTCTCTCTGTGTGTGAACTCAAGATGACCTGTGTCTAATCATCCTCTTTATCTCACCCATGTCCTCTACCAGAGACGCTGCAGGCGCCTCATTTAACACCTCAATACTGTTTGTCTGTGTTCAGAGGTAACAAGCTGGTCTGCACTGATGAGGGATTTGAGGGCTGATGCTGATATTCAGTATTTTTCATGTTCATTAGCTCAGGCTTGGCGAGTAATCAAACTTTATTTTTAACCGCTTATGAAAACTAGATAATGGGGATAAAAATGATTATTACGCCCTCGTTTTGTCAGTGTTGTTAATTATTTTTATATGTTCAGTAGTTTTCAGTAGGTTGTGTATGTGCGTTACAATGTAGTTAAACTTTATTTTATTTATTATTTTATCTATAAATATTTTTTTTCTTTGTCATTTTTTAATTTGTTTTGCAGTTTAATTGTATTTAATGTTCAAGGAAATCCTCTGTTAAAAAGATAAGTTTTTTAAGTTCAGTAAATGCAAAATAATCTGATTTTGATTTTCGCCATGTCTGAGCAGCCCTAGCTTGCAATTTTTATGGTTGGGTCCAGTTTCTTCACCAAGCCAGATCAACTGATGGCCTATTTATTTATTTATGTATTCATTTATTTGTTTATTGTCTTATTTAGCCTTTATCTCCCCTAATCTAAGGGTCACACTCAGTTTTTCTGAGCAAATGAATGCTCACTGCCCAGAAAAACAGCTGTTTAAGACTGCCCAGAAAAACAGCTGTTTGTTCTCAGGTGCCTTAATTGCACTGTACTGCATATCCACCAATCCAGTTTGCAGCAGTTTAGCCCCACCCACTCACACTGAAGTTATAAGGAGTGTTTCAGCGTAGACTGATTTTACAGGCACAATACAACACAGCCAATCAGCACAGAGCTCATTTACATAGTCTTAAAGGAACAGGAACAACAGCAGCCTGTTTAATTCCCAATAAATAAATAAAGTGCAATAGAAATGTAGGCTGTGGGCTCTTAAAGTAATTATCTGCTAATACTGATTCTAGGATCTCCATGCATTGATTTATATATTTACTATTATTTGGCTTGATGCTTGAAGTGTTTAGACATGAACATGCGTTTAGCTGACTTGACTCAGACGAGGGCGTAACCGAACAGACTCAACTCTGACTCTGCATGAAGTGACTTTTGAGCATCTCTGTGTTACATTGTATAGAAACTCATCTGAAACTGCGATTGGTCAGGATGCTCACAGCACACAGTGATTTAAACATTGTGATTGGTTGGAGGTCTCGCTTGCATATTGCAGTCTTCTGCAGTATCAGTACTGACTAAGACTAATAGCACAATAATGATTAAAAAATGATTTATTGTGCAGCCTTTTATGCATGCATGTTTGTACATGTGTAGAGAGCAAGGAAAGGTGTATAAGACTGCTCAATTTGGGAAGCTTTATTGATTTTATAATAAGGCAGCACTAAGCATATAAATGTTAATCAGTAAGTTCAGTTCAGTTCAAACACTGAATGCCTTTCACCTCTGTAAATCTGTCAGCCAGGATGAATTCATAAAACATACTTGAGTGTTTTTCATTTTGACTTGTGTTTTCTGACAAATTGAGGCTGAAAGTGTTTTGTCAATTGAATGCACAGTTAAAAAGATGAGAAATTGCTGCCTCATTTCAAAAAGGTCAAGGTTCTGCCCCCTTAGTTCGTTCCTCTCACTGTGGAAAGCGAAGGAGCTGGAATCAAGAGAGATAAAGCTTTATTGGTAGAGTCAGTGAAGTGGAAGGTTTTTAGGAAAGCACTTTATATAAGGTTTATATATGGTTTCGCTTCCTCTTTGTCTTTCTCCCTCTTTCACTTCACCTACACAGAAATTATCCTCTATCACAGAATTTAAACCAGCAAGACAAACACTCACAATAACGTCTGTCAGTGAGGAGGAGGATGATAAGCGCTTCAGGTGAAGTGAGGTTTTCCTTTACAGTCTTTGCGTCTTTACAGTTCAAGTCAATGAACCTGGGACCTTTGGTACTATTTAGGAGCCATTTTGCTACTCATACTGTTTACTGTTATCTGTAAACATGGACCAAAGTGGTTTAGCTATGCAGTAGAGCTGCACAATAAATCATTTTTGTTATTAGTGCAGCATAGGTTCCTGTGATAAGAGCTGTGATGAAACTGATCAGTTTACTTCATGCCCAGCACGGTGCTCTCTCACCTGAAAACGAATAACTTAACATGCAATCAATTACAAACCACACACATGCACAGCTCTAAACCTCCTCTGTCCTGAAGTAGCCTGTAACAATGCTTCTAAAATACTACAAATGTGTTGATTATTCATCTGCTGCTGCTCGTCCCTCTCTCCCGCTCTGTTCTCTCTCAGCTCTTTAAAAAGGCAGCTGAGCCGAGAGGGAACGAGAGCTCGCTGCTTGAATTTTTGTCTTTAATAATCGACACTCGGAATGCAGTTGTAAATACACAATTTAATAAACATTTTCAAATTTGCATTTGACTTGAATTTAAAAGTCCATAATACGCTGCTGTACTACAAGACTGATGTAGTGAACAAGTAAAACAAAGCTAATACCTTAGAATTCTAAGCTAACCTGAACTTTGCTGTGGTCACTTTTATTGTTGGCTGTTTAATTGTGAAAATGTGATTTTGACCGAACCGTCACTCACGCTGGACACCCTCAAACTGTCCTAACCTGGCTAAGGTCAGAGGTCACCTGTGCTCAGTGCAGTATCCTGTCCTCAGGCCCCTCGTCTTCTTCTCTCTGCAGGGTCGTTGGCTCAGCGTGTGAAGGTTCAGCCAGAGGTGGTTTCGTATCCAGGTCAAGTTGTAACCCTGCAGTGCCAATTTCCTGATCCAGGCCAAACTCAGCTCACACAGGTTAGAGGTCACCTCACCATAATCAGTTTATATAGATATATTGCCGCTGTTTGGGTTCAGTTTTCTCTCTTTCTGTCCTGTAGGTGTCCTGGATTTTTGAAACAGCTGCTGGCACCCGAACTAACATTGCAGTGTTTCATCCTGCGCATGGAGTTCTTTACCCCAGGTCCCCGGTGACTGGCCGCGTGAGATTTACAAGTGACCCACTTCAGCTGGAGAGTCCAACCATTCAGATCACGGATATTAAGAAGACTGATGAGGGAAGGTACATCTGTGAATATGCAACTTACCCCAGTGGAAATGAGCAGGGTGTCACCAACCTCGCCATACTAGGTGAGCAGTAGTGATTGATTATAATAGTATTCAGTTAAATTAAACATAAAATTATCTGAATTTTCAAATGTAAAAAACAATCAAAATAGCATAAAAGAGCTTGTATTGTTTATGCAGTTGTGTTAAAAAGCTTGAACACTTCTGGTTAAAAGACTTTTTTCTTATAATGTGTTAAATTCAGCAAATAAGCAGTTGTTGCGCATTCAAATGTACAGAAGTGTGTCTCTGTAGAGGACGTGTAACTTATTTTCACTCAGAAAATCAACAACACATGTAATTTGACCAGGGCACCCAAACTTTTGCATCTGGCTCATTTCTTTTTACATAAATGTGCAAAGGTTTGCAATTTGATGGAAAAAAAGCTGTTTATCCAGGCTGGGCCTTTCAAATGCAGAAAGATCAGTCTGAGATGGCAGAGTGAGCATCACACTGATCACCCGTTAAGATGATTTTAACACTAAGATGCTTTTGGGACATTGGGCTCTGGTCTGTAAGCGTTTATTTGCTCAGAAAAACACTAATTTTACATTTTACCATAAATACGATAACATGACTACAATATGTATTTACTTAAAAGTTCAGTATGTAAGATTTAGGGGGATCTATTATTAGAAATGGAATTTAGTAACAAAACCATGTGTTCATTAGTGTATAATCATGGATAGGATGGTCCTCCATCTTCCCATCACTCAGTGTGATGCTAGCTGTATATCTGTTAGCTAACATAACAGAATCAGCAGTCAGCGTTCTCCTTCAGACGTGTTGAGCTGTTTCTGTTGGTTTAGCAGTTTGAAAAGGTGTAGTGGAGCTTCACGTCTCAGAGGAAGCTTGTAGACGACTGATTCTACTGTTTTTAGCTACACAGTGTACTTCTGTCCATTTTTACAGAGAACTGTACATCAGAAACTACATTAGTTACAACTCTACTTCATCATCCATCATCTAATCTCTTTCTTTCTGTTCCAGCCAAGCCCTCAAACACCGCCTCCACAGTCACTGTACAGGCTGGCACAGCCTCGGTCATTGTGGCCCGCTGCGAGTCGGTCAACGGGCGTCCGCCAGCCACCATCTCCTGGGTGACTTCAGTGGGGGGCAACGGAACAACCCTGACAGAGAGAGATAACCAGGACAACACGGTGACGGTGAAGAGCGAGTACTGGTTGGTGCCGACTCCTGCTGACAACGGCAGAGACATCAGCTGTGAGGTGTCACACCGGATGCTGACCAGCCCGGAGACTTTCCCCATGAAGCTGGTGATTGAATGTACGTCACAGCTCAGAGCACCAATTCCGTTCATCAGCAGAGCTGCTGAATAAAGCGAGTCTCAAAAGCCTCATTATGTCCAGATCACTGCCTGACTGTTACTGTAGACACTCTGGTAAACTCGAGCGACTCAGGAGGGAAACAGGAGCATGTTTTTCACTGGAACCAATACAAATGTATTCCACTCTAAAGGCTATTGAGCTCATTGACAGTCAGGAACCTGCAGAGCTGCTGCACTGGATTAGCTTGTGCTCTGCCTCAGGGCAAATGTGGCTCATGTTGTGCTAGTTAATGTTCAGATGAAACCTTCATGCTCATGGTACATAGTTAACCTTTACTCTTTCTACACTTTCTCTCAGATCCTCCTCAGGTGCAGATTGTGGGGTATGACAGTAACTGGTATTTAGGACGCACAAATGCAGTGCTGACCTGCCAGACTCAGGGGAACCCTCCCCCCACCATCACCTGGAGAACGTGAGTATGTCCTGTGCAAACGCCTCAGGACCATCTACCGCTGCCCAATGAGCTCCTTCAGTGGGCTCTATCAGTGATTTTATTGATTTCCCATTAACCTCCATTAGCCTCCATTAGCCTCTTTTCCAGCCTCCTTGTCTCCTTCCATCTTGCTGACCGTTCCTGGTTTCCATAATCACTGCTGGACTGAGCTTTATAAGCTTAATCCTCAGGCCTTTTGACGTCATTTTAACCCACAATATATAAACAGCTTATGCTGGCAGCTGGAGTGGTCAGTGGCTGCTACAAGGGCTTTGGATTTGATGGAGGACAGAGGCTTTAAGATCATTCAGGAAGAGATAGACACCGTGTCTCCTGGCTGTTCACAGTGCAGTTCCACCCATATTTCAAAATATCTCCATAATTCAATTAAGATGTTGACAGTCATTCAGAGTGGTTTGATGTGAAACGGGTCACTGTAGAGAAACTTACCAACTCACTCACCACGAATTCTTTACAGTGGTAGTGATAGACACCAGTGGTCATGATGGTCACAGTACAAATATAGCCATGTATTTACCATCAAAAACTAGCAGTGAACCTACAGTTTTCTGAAGTTCTCTTTGAGGACAATTTTTGCTCATAACACCCTGTTAAAAATATGTTTTACTTTTATTTCAAATCTATCATAAAACAGTGTCTCAGTCATCAGGCAGTGAATTCATAACCATTTCATGTAGGAACTTTCTGTGAGGGAGCTTTTAGAGGCGGATGTCTGGTTCCTATCACCACCACTGTGAACAGTTCTGACTCGGTAAGTTTTTCTAGAACAGAGCGTTTCACACCAAACCACTCTGAACGACTCTGTTTATATCTTAACCACTTAATTATGCACGAATTTTGAAAAAATGGATGGAGTTCCCCTTTAACTGGTATCATTTCCTAATAAATTATTGTAGCGAATCTCAGTCTTTCTTTTCAGCAGATAGAAATACTTTACTGATCTTTACTAATGGAACTCTCCTCTTCATCCTTTTGGTTATTCAGAGTGTGTCACTGGTGCATGAAATTAAGATCAAGAGTCTTCTGCACCAAAGATATGGATCATATCATTAATAATAATTAATTAGTGATAGATGGAGCCTGAAGAATATTTATTAACATTATTGATTTATTAATCTTTGGTGTATGAAATCAATAAACACTGTTGTTTTTAAGTTTCATATGTGGAATATAGAGAAGTTACTGGATTACAGTGATTTTGATACATAAACACACACAGATGTTGTTATCTGTGGATTTCAGGTGGGCGAGAAGGTAAAATAAGTAAAAATGTAGAAGACGGACTCTTTAACGTTGTTTTGACGTTGCTTTAACGTGCCGTGACAGGACGTCGGGTCTGATGCCGGAGACGGTGCAGGTGAAGGAGAACAAACTGACCGTGCTGAAAGTGGATGAGACGGTGAGCACCACTTTCATCTGTGAGGTCAGGAACAGCGTCGGCACAGGAACGGACCAGGTCAGCGTGACGGTCAGGGGTGAGTGAAACCATCCATATATATGCACCAGGATCACTGTTCACTCTCACATGGCTGAGCTTCAGCTCCACAGAGGATACGTTCACATGTACACGGCCTCTGAGTCTGATCGGCTGTCGTGTAGTCGAGCTGCACGATGCGCAGAACATATGAATGTTGCTAAATATTCATGTATGTATGTATTCATATATTCATACACAGATCCACAGATTTTTCAGAATCACTGCATAGTTCAGTGTGTGAGATGTAAACAGAGAGATTCAGAGCGGTTTGGTGTGAAATGGTTCAGATGTCTTTACAGTGGTGGTGATAGGAACCAGGGGTCGCCATGACTACAACACAAATATAGACATTTTATTTTCTATTAAAAACTTCTTTAATAGGTATGTCTTATTTCAAAGCTGTAATGAAACAATGTTTCAGGCATATTTGTGTTGCATATTATCGTGTAATAACAACTCTTCAGATGTCTGGTTCCTATCACCGCCACTGTGAAAAATTCTGACCTGGTAAGCTTCTCTAGAACAGATCACACCACTCTGAATGACTTTGTTTACATCTTAGCCATTTAATTATCTAAATTTGTGTGAATTGTTATGACAAATTGGTGAAATTCCCTTTTAAAATATGATAAAAATGCATTAGTCACTCCTAGATGTGACTTGGTTAAGGACTGATGTATATTAGAACTACATGATTGATTCATTAAAAACACTCATCTGGAGCTCTGATTGGTCAGGAAGCTCACAGTATTTCACACCATAATTGGTTAGAGGGCTCATTTGCATATTGCAGTTTTCTGTGATATCAGTATTGAAAAGGCCAAAATCACAATAACAGTTAATAAATGATATATTGTATTTTTGAATACAGTTTAGCTCTGCTTATTCACACTGAAGTTATAAAGAGTGGACCAGTTTTTGAACAAGGCACAATATAGGGCCAATCAGAACAGAGCTCGTTTACATATATCAGTCTTAAAGGCACAGTAACATAAACAGCCTGTTTAATTATAAGGGATGAAAAGAGTTTGTAAAATGGGTGTGTAAAAATAAGGACTGTTTTTGGGTACATAATACCACACTAACATCAGAAGTGAAATTAAAGTAAAACTCGACACAGTTTGAATCGAGTGTGTGATGATGATGTAGACAGTTTACACAAAGCTAACTGGTGTACAGCAGCGTCCATTACTGAGCTGAACAGCCTCGTAGCTTCAGTGCAAAACTAAAGAAGCAAACTTCAGACTCCAAACACGTCTCAGCTGATGGGCTACTTTTGGTTTAAGGGGGATTTTTCACTGAACTGGAGCTTTAATTAGAGCAGGCCGTCTGGTTTCCAGCCAGCTTCCACTTTTTGATTCCTCGCTGTTGTTTCTGAGTTTTGTTCTCTTGTTCCCGTTTTCCTTCTCTCTTTCTCTCTCTTTGTCTTCCTTCATTCTGACTTATTCCTCTCACTCTCATTGCTGAAATATTAACTGATCTTTTCAAGCTCCGCCCACAGATGTGTTCTTTCCAGTCTACTGTTGCGAGGTCGGACAAGCTTTGGCTAAAAGGTTTAGTAGGCTTTAGTTTGGCTAAATCAGTTTAGTTCTGATTGTAAATCAGATGTACAGACACACTGACTGGAGAAGGAGTGTGTATGTATACACACACACACACACACACTCACACACACACATTTTCTGAAACCGCTTATCTTTCTGGGTTGCGGGGGGAGCTGGAGCCTTTTAATGTTTAATGTTGCAATAAATTATTACATAATCATGTAGTTGTGTAATTCTTTATACTTACCTTAAATTCTAGACAGGTTCATTTTTTTCCCTAAAAATGATAAATGTGCCAAAATGTAAAGGGTTGTTCAATGAAAAATGTGGAAAAAACTTTTAAGTCTGGAATAACAATCTTCAGGAATGTGGGGAAAGGGAATTCATTAGCTGAAGCTTTTGGATGGGTGGGTCCTTCTGAAAGGCTGCAATGATCTATTTACTTCCTGAAAGCCATGAACAGCACAACGTTTATTCACTTTTTCCACATCTTCCATCACAATAATGTTACAGAATGTCTGCAGGAACAACACCACGTTATTTCTGGAATGGGTGGGGCTAAACTGCTGTAGCTGAATGGTGGAGCTAAACTGCTGTAGGCTGAATAGTGGGGCTAAACTGCTGTAGCTGAATAGTGGGGCTAAACTGCTGTAGGTGGAATGGGCGGCGCTTAGCTGCTGTGGGCTGAGTGGGCAGGGCAGTTCATGGTTTTACTTGGAAATCGTTCATCAAAAAGATTTGGCATTTCTTGTGGAGTCCATCAAGGTTCAGTCTTAGGGCCTTTGCTTTTCTCTTTGTACATGCTACCTCTAGGTGATGTCATTAGGAAGTATAATTTTCATATTTATGCTGATGACACACAATTATACATTTCCATTCCTTCTGATGATCAAGACTCTGTGGATAGACTGACCAGCTGTGTGTCAGATATTTTCAGTGGATGTCGCAAAATTAAGTCACTAAAAAACTGAAATACTGATTGTTGGTACAAAAACTCAGAGAAAGCTGCTTTATGAGAAACTTGGTTCATTAACTTCATAAACCAAACCTGCAGTAGAAACCTGGGTGTGATCTTAGACTCTGAGCTCTGTTTTATCTGCATGTAATCACAGTCACTAAAGTAGCTTTTTATCATTTGAGAAAATCAGTAAAGTTTGGCCTTTTCTCTCTCAGAGTGACACAGAGAAACTTGTTGCTGCATTTATTTAGCAGAGTTGATCACTGTAATGATCTCCTTACTGAACTTCCTCAGAAAACAATACATCCTTTACAACTCATACAAAATACAGCAGCATCCTAACAAAAACAACACAGAGAGATCAGATCAGTCCTGCTTTAAAAGAGCTGCACTGACTGTCTGTATCGCTCAGGATAGAGTTTAAAGCTCTGCTACTGGTTTTTAAAGCTCTAAATGACCTTAAAGCACCGCTGACATCACAGAGTGTCTGTCTGTTTATGATCTCACATCTGCAGATTCTGACCTTCTACAAACACCTGTAAAAACCAGAAAACGTGGAGAGACTCTTTCAGTTATTCTGCTTCTAAACTGTGGAGCTCAGTTCAGCTTTTATTAGACAGTCGAGCTCAGAGCTCACTTTTAATAAACATCTGAAAACGTCACATTAACTTAGCATTTAGTAAGAACTCTGGTATTTATTTTTTTTATTTGATCTGTGTCATTTTCTTATATGATTCTATATTAATACTTATTTTTTGTATTACTATTTAACTTTATTACCTGTCTGTGAAGCAATTGGAGCTGCCACCAGCATGAAAAGTGCTATTAAAAAATCATTATAATTATTATAATTATTAAAATATTACACATCCACCAAATGTTTTAGAAATTGAGTAGGTTAATGTAACCGTATTTGTCTGTGTAAATGTTCTATATTTCAGGTTCAGCTGGGCTGTGTAAGCAGTATGCAGTTTGGGGAACTGTTGGCTTCCTTTCTGCTCTGCTTCTGTCTCTTATTAACATTATTCTCTGCGTTCAGTGAGTAACAGTGTTCTTTAGACATGGCCATGAAAGTCTATCACTTTCTAAAAACAAATTTAACCATGAACTCAGTTTAGCCTTAATTAAAAACTCTTAAACAGCCTGTTTGTGTTTAATCTGTGTGATCAGGAGGAAGAGAGGAGCAGAGAGAGGAGCTGATGTTCAGGTACTGGGAGAAAGTTTTACTCTTTCTGTTTATGAACGTGTTCCTTAAGAGTTGATGCCATTCCAGTCTTCTAAAGCTGTTCTACTGCAGCTCACAACAGCGATAGGTTCAATACAGCTTCAAATAATATGGTTTTCAATCCAGAAAACCCTAAAATGTATTTAAATGAAAGAGTAGAAACGATCAGCTGACAGTTTGTATAACGTTAGTAAGTATGCTAATTGCCATGATAGCTATGATGAAGTTTTAGAAAGTCACAGATACTTTGGCTGGATTAGCTACACTGCAAAAAGCATCTCGTGCATCTTGTCACATGAAATGATCTTAAATCTAGTCAATATATCGAATATTTTCCATTTTGAGATGGTTGTGCACTTATTATAAGACTATCTAGCTTATTTCTTACCCCCTAGAATACACACTAGAAAAAATAGCCCCATAAACTTAAGAGTAGGGACAACCTGTGATGTGTAAATATATAGAGGCAGCCAAAGAAGAGTTCAAAGCAAGAGCTGGTACAACAAACAGGTATATTCAATAGTCTTTATGATGTAGAGAGAGGAGAGGAAAAAAAAGCCATAAATTCAAAGTTTTTACCCCAGATGCAAATGTTCAACCACCCCACCAACAGTAAAACAAACTCCCACCTCAGAAAACCCACACATAAACTATATATACACAAAGGCAATGTAGAAACTACTGAAGTGAGAAGTCTTTGATGTGGCAGTGACATTAAACTAGAAGTAGAAAAAAAGTTATGGTTCAGTCCCACCAGCAGAATGGAGGTCCATAGAGATGGTGGCAGGAATAGCTGGTAACTGGGTAGACAGAGCTGAAAGGCCTTGAGCTGGAAACTCCTCACAGTCCTCCAGTGATAACCCAGTCCATGTGTTAAATGAGTTCAAAAAAACTCCTTCTGCACATGAAGATGAATACAGCGTATGAGAAACCCATACCAAACCCAACTTTAGCTACAAAAAGAGCTTTAGCTTAGCATTTTTAGCTTTAGCTTAGCATATTAGCATTAGGACTAGCTCAGCATTGGCATAACACAACTAGAAGTAGATTAGTATAACCAACTAGCATTACCATGGCCTATAACTGCAATGAAGCTATACATTGCAATTGCATTTTGTTAAAAAAGGCAACAGTACACAAACAATAGAAAACCAACAAGCTTCCCACCAAGTTGATTCCAGGCAGAAATACATGTGCTTGGACAGACTTTCTCTATTAATTCCACTTTGGAGCCCCCTAGAGGGAAGGAGTAAGAACAACCTCCTAAAGCACACGGCTTTGAGAAAAGACCCAACTAAAAAGGATAACCAGTTCGGTTACAGTGTAATTAATCTAGAACCTTGCTTTCTTTTATCATGTTCTAACAGCTAAGTTACCTGTTCGATGTGCACTCAGTCACCTGTCATAACTAATATAATACTCATTTTAAATAACAAACAATAAATAAAAGTGTGCTGTTTGTTCCCAGCATCTACCTGCTTTACCAAGACTCACCTGAATATGAGCAGCTTTCATATCTCTGGAATGTTCTACGTTCTGCTGTCACGGTAGCATTCACAATAAATAAATAGGTTTTTCATTCTAGAAAAACCTTCTGTCTGATGCACAAAACGAAGCGGTATATGTGACATTAAAAAATGAGAAAGTTTAAAGGAAAGAGGGAAAACAACTTGAAATAGTTGGCTAGCATAGTATGGATGACATTTGCAAATATACTATTTAACACAACAGCTGTTCTAGCTGAAGATTTAATAAATCACAGATCTCACTACAAACTTACAGAAACTTCGGCTGCCTTACCTGTTTTGCTAGCTGGTGTACATGCTTTATAAAATGCAGATGAAATGTTTAAAGTTGTTTTTGTTTTTTCCCCTCAAACACCACATTTACTGCGTGTAGCGCTTCAGTTCTGACCTCCAGACTGAATGTTTTTCTGTAATGAAAGATTTGTTATTTGAAACCATCAGACTGAAAGGTTTACTTTTGTTCAGTGCAGCTAATAACAACACTACACTATTATATAACCAAATAATTCTCTACTAAAGACTGAGGACTTGACTCAGAACTCAGACTCCTAAATCAACTTGTGAGCATCTCTGACTGATCCTGAATAAAAACTGAAGCTGTTCCTCCTCGTCTCTCTAAAAGGCTCCAAAGTCTGGAGACGACACTTACTCAGCTCTGAACCCCAACACCACGTCCTCCGACTACGACACTCTGACTGTAAGTCTGCACTCTGTGTACCTTCATTCTCTGGTTGAGCTTCATAACAGTTCCTAAGATCTCCTGTTTTTCAGGTTGTCCGTCCTCACCCAGTGATGAGAAGAGCTCCAGAGAACGAGAACTAACAGCTGTGTTCATTTACTCTTCATTCACCACTGTAGCTTCAGCTCTAAGGACAGAACATTAAAGAGGCGTACGGAGGATTTCTGAGGATTAAAGAGCTTTTAGAGCTCAAAACACATCAGATGATTCCTAAAGTCAGAGTGATTCTCTCAGATCAGTCAGAGGAGCTTCTGTTTATGAAGGGTCTTTATTCACTGTTGTGCTTTTATACACCATGATGATTCAGACACGGACCAGAATCAGGCAGTTCTGATCACTCAGTATGAACAGAGTTAAGATGATTTGGATCCTGTTTGATTACAAATGTCAGTGTGCACAATCAGGTTTATTTTTTTGCTATTTTATGTATTTTCATTATTTCAGATAGCTAGAAACGCTTGATTAGTTCTGTTATCTGTTATAGTTGTGCTTTATTTCTAAAGGCTGTGCTTCCAGTAACAGACTGCTAATAAAGTTGTGAAGCAGGTTGTACCGTGACAGACCCAGTCAGACGCTTGTGGTAAAATCCAAGAGATGAAGCTTTAATAGAAAAGGGATTAGCAAGAACTGTCGTAGTACAGGCGTGGGTCAAATCCAAAACAGAAAAAAGGCAAAACAGGGTAAACATAACCAGAAGGGCAAAGACAAAAGGCAACGAACAGAAATCCAGAAAAAGAGTCCAATACACAAAAAGGGCAACTGATAACACAATGGAAACACCCAGTATTTATATAGGAGAACCAATACATTGCAGCTATACTACGCTAAAGCCCTGGCTTATATACTAAACCAGGAAGGTCATATGACAGGTAACACAGGCGGAACAGATCAGAATTCAGGATAGTTGGATCAATGATTGGTTGGACGTGAGGTTGAACAGTCACATAATCTCCCAAGGGATTGTGGGAAATGTAGTCCCTGTGCGAGTCGAGGCCAGAAGAATGCATGACACAGGTTTTGTTTACATTTTTAATGAACAGTGAACAGATGAGAGACTTCTGGATGGACCTGCTGGCTGTTTTCATCACTGCTTTCCATCAGCTTCCTTATGTCAGTTTTTTCCAGTTTGTGTATAGTCAGCTGTAAACTGATAAATATGGCACTTTGTAAATCATACATTGAGAAAGACAAAAAAAATGCAAAAATATGTAACACTTATGAAACTAATTTGGTGAATATTAAGTTGAATCAGTTGAATATTAAACATGTTATTGCCTATTTAAACATAAGAACTTACATTTGAGTATGTGTATTTACAAGGGGAATATTGATCATTCCAATATGGGTTCAGCCCGGAAAGGCAACATGGGGGGGGACCATGGTCTAGCATGAGGGACCGGTGCAGTGCCGTATAGGTGGTAGGAGAGGGGAATCGTTGATGGCATGGACACTTGTGGCGAAAACTAGCTCTTGGTACGTGGAATGTAACCTCATTGGATGGTAAGGAGCTGGGAGGTTTAGAGGTACCAACTAGATATAGTTGGGCTCACCTCCACTCACAGTGTTGGCTCTGGAACCAAACTCCTTAATAGGGGTTGGTCCCTCTCCTACTCAGGAGTTGTACAGGGCGCCGGGCTGGTGTGGAGATACTCACGAATCCCAGGCTGGCTGCCATGCAGTTAGAGTTTGGCCAGTGGATGAGAGAGCCACCTCAATGCAAAAATCGCAGGGTTGTGCATACTTGTGCACCAAACAACAGTTCAACATAGCCAGCCTTCTTGGAGCAAGTGGGCAGGGTTCTGGAAAGGGCACCACCTACAAACTCCATGGTCTTGATGGAAGACTTCAATGATCATGTTGGCAATAACTGGGAGACCTGGAGGGGGTTGATTGGGAAGAACAGCCTGCCCGACCTAAACTCAAATGCTGAATTGTTATTGGACTTCTGTGCTAGACATGGATTGTCCATGATGAACAACAAGTTTGAACACAATGATGTTCATAAGTGTATGTGGTACCAGAACTTCTTGGGTCAAAGGTCAATGACCGACTTTGTTGTTGTTTCATCTGACTTAGGACCATATGTTCCGGACACTCAAGTGAAGAGAGGTGATGAGTTGGATCAGATGGCAGGGGAAGACTGATGGTCAGACCCGGTAGGCCCAAGCAAATAGTGAGGGTGTGCTGGGAGTGACTGGCAGAGGCACCTTTTTAGAATAATTTTTAACTCCCACCTCCAGGAGAGCTTTTCTCATGTTCCGGAGGAAGTAGGGGACAAGGACTCTGAATGGACCATGGTCAAAACCTCCATCATAGAAGGTGCCAGGCATAGCTCTGGCCAGAAGCTTGTTGGTGCCTGTCAGGGAGATAACAGAAAAACCCCTTGGAGGACACTGATGGTGTCCTTTAGGGACTGAATGGCCTGACGGACTCCCGACTCAGCAGATAAGTACCGAGAGGCAAAAAATACGGCAGTGGCACAAGCAAAATCCAGGGTGTGGGAGGAGTTTGGTGGGGGTGAAGAAACTGACTTCAAAAATGAGGCTACTGTCAGTTGGTGGAAGGAGCACTTTGAGGAACTCCTTAATCTGAGAAAAACAAAAAATATATATATATATATATATATATACAGTGGAGGAAATAAGTATTTGATCCCCCACTGACTTTAAAGGTTTTAATACAAAAAAATAAATGAAACGTCTCATAATTTTATGCCAGCTTTGTTTTAACAGTGACACAAAGAATATCAAAAGAAAAACTGAGAAAATTACATGAAATGAGAAATAAAAATTAATTTGAATTTCACTGAAGGAAATAAGTATTTGACCCCCTAGTAAAACATCATTTAATACTTGGTGGCAAAACCCTTGTTGGCAAGCACAGCAGTCAGACGTTTCTTGTAGTTGTTTATAAGGTTTGCACTTCAGGAGTAATTTTGGCCGACTCCTCTCTGCAGATCATCTCCAAATCCTTAAGGTTTTTAGGCATGCATTTGGAAACGCGAAGCTTCAGCTTTCTCCATAGATTTTCTATGGGATTGAGGTCGGGAGACTGGCTAGGCCATTCCATGACCTTGATATGCTTCTTATGGAGCCACTCCTTTGCTTCCTTGGCTGTATGTTTTCGGGCGTTGTCGTGCTGGAAGACCCATCCATGACCCATTTTCAGTGCCCTGGCGGAGGCAAGGAGGTTGTGACCCAGGATTTTGCGATACATGGCCCCGTTCATCTTCCTGTCGATGCGGTGAAGTTGGCCTGTGCCCTTAGAAGAAAAACACCCCCAAAACATAATACTTCCACCACCATGCTTGATGGTGGGGATGGTGTTCTTAGGGTCATATTCTGTATTTTTCTTCCTCCAAACACGTCGAGTTGAGTTGAGGCCAAAGAGCTCAATTTTGGTCTCTTTCTTTAGTCTTGCCCATGGTGGCGATGTTGGAGTGTCACTGAGTCTGTTGGCAGGTGGCCTTTTATACAGGTGACAATTTGGGACAGGTGTCTCTCATGCAGGTAACGACTTCACTGAGATTAGGGTGTGTCAGTGGTCTGTGGGAGCCACCATTAGTCATGTTTTTTAGGGAATCAAATACTTATTTTCCTCAATGAAATGCAAATTATTTTTTATTTAAATATTATTTAATTTTCTAGATTTTCTTTTTGATATTCCATCTCTCACTGTTAAAATGAAGCTACCATAAAAATCATAGACTGTTTAATTATTTGTCAGAGGACAAACTTTCAAAATCAGTGGGGGATCAAATACTTATTTCCTATTTCCTATTTTATATATATATAAACATATATATATATATATATATATATATATATATATATATATATATATATATATATATATATTTCCCCTGTTTGTATGTTTTTATGTCGGCCTATGCTGTCTGGTATGTCTATGTGCAATTGCCTTTATGTTATGTCGGTATTGGACAAACACAGTCTCATTCAGCTGTGCACTCCTAGTTGTATAGTCTGAATGACAATAAAGTTTACTTTGACTTGACTTTGACTTTGAAAGGACTTGCTCCAGGTGGAGGAGTTTAAGTATCTTGGGGTCTTTTTCATGAGTGTCGGAAAGGGGGATCGTGAGATGGGCTGCAGGCTGGGACAGGCAGCAGCAGTGATGCGGTCACTGTACCGGACTGTAGTGGTAAAGAGGGAGCTGAGACATAAGGTAAAGCTCTGTGTTTGCTGGTCTACGTCCCAACCCTCACCTGTGGTCATGAGGTACAGGTATTGGCTGAAAGAATGAGATCATGGATACAAGCAGAGGACATGAGCTTTCTTCACAGGGTGGTGGGCTACACTCTACTGAAAGGGTGAGGAGCTCAGTCATCCAGGAGGAGCTAAAAATAGATCTGCTTCTCCTCCACATTGAGAGGAGCCAGTTGAGGTGGTTCAGGCATCTGAGCAGGATGTCCCCTGCATGCCTCCTGGTGGGGGTTTACCAGGCATGGCCTATGAGGACAAGACCCCGGGGGTCCCAGATGATGATGATCAAGATCATGATCATGATGATGACAATGTACAAATTTAAGTGACTGTGCATATAAAGTGAGTGAAACTGAAGTTCCACAGTAAAGTGACTGAGTGTGGAAGTGAAAGTGCAGCAAATTAAATGAGTAGTAAGGCTGAGGAAGCAGTTCAGTGAGATTCAGGTAGATCAGTTCAGAAGTCTGACTGCCTGCGTGAAGAAGAAACTGTTCATGAGTCTAAAGGACTCAGCCCTGATGCTCTGTAGTCTTCTTCCAGATGGGAGTGGTGTAAACAGTCTATCTGATGGATGAGAGGGATCCTTCCTGATGCTGCATGCTTCTTTTTTTACACCGGTTCGTGAACATATTCTTAATGGCAGGGAAGCAGTCTTCACTACCCACTGCAGTGCTGTCCTGTCTGAGATGATACCAGACAGTGATGCTGCAGAAAGTTCTCTATTATACAAGACAGTGATGCTGCAGGTCAAGATGCCCTTTATGATACCAGAAAGTGATGCTGCAGGTCAACTTCAGGCGTCACTAGGCAACTGCAAAGCCTCCCTCCTCAGACACAATTACTCCTATAAATAAAATAAACCACATAACAACAATCTGTTTTTACACTGACAATGTGACACATTCCGAGAGCCACTCTGCATGGCCACACATGCCTGTACTTTAGCCCAGCAGCCTAGTTAAAACATGAAATGAAACACATCTGTTGAGTTTTCTTTTCTGAATTTCTAAACTGCAGCTCCCAAACAGACGAACCACGCCTCCGGCTTCATTCACATGACACATATCTGTTTATTCCACTGGAAAAAAACAAAGGGAGACAACAGATTAGTCTCCCTGTTCATGTCAGACATGGTTATCGGAGCTTGCTGTAATATGTTCATTTAAACTGATCAGTGATCTCAGCCCTGAACTCCATTAGATTGAATGCAATGACATCATGAATGAGACGTGTGATGGAAAAACAACAAGAGGTTCAGCCAATTAATCTAGAATCCATGTGTTAATAGTTGCTCTGAGTTTATTGTTTAGATTCTAGAATCATGTTTTTACAGTTTACAGAATAATATATAAAAATTATACTAAAATATGCTGTTGTGGAAAATGTACAGCTGCTAAAGCACCCCTGCTAACTTAACATATGAGTTTGACATTGCTTGTGTATATTTTAAACATATATCATCTGTCTAAAGAATGCACAATATGATCATGTAAAAGTCTGTCCTGCTGGTTTTCGTGACTACTTTAGCTGTTATTCTGTGGTCTAGAACCTCCAGTGAGTCTTAACAGTGAGCAATTTGCATTGCAAATACAGAGGAAATGGAAATGTGTGTAGCACAGTTTACTTAGTCTCGTCTTCAAAGCTAATTTCATTAGATTAGCTACAGAGTGTACTTATCAGGTTTTCGTCACTGCAGCACGACTGTGTCTTAGATGGAAACAGAAGCACAAATAAAGATGAAAATGAGCAGCAGTGTTGTTCAACAGAACTGTTTAACATTGCATTTTCCATTAAAGAACCTTCAAAGAAATAAGGAACAATATTGTAAGTTTTTTGGTCAGGAATGGTGTAATGTGCATGTAAACGATCACAGTTTAGTTTCACTTAAGCTGTGATCATTAGTGGCACTAATGAGTCAGAACAGTCGTCTAGCTGTTTGGTGAGGTAGGTATCTCCGCTTGGGGCATCAACCAATCCAGGAGTAGAGAACCACTCTGTGCTTCCTCTAAAGGGAGGACCTTTGACTGCAGAGGACATTAACTCTCGGCTATTTGCA